CTGTGTTCCATGGTATATCTAATGCCTTGGATGTTCTTTTGTACCCTTCTCCTGACTGATACCTTTAAACAATGAGATCCCTCTGATGCTTTGGAAGCTCTCTGCGGACCATGGCTTTTTCTGTAGGGTGCAACTAAGAAAATATCAGGAAAGCCCTATTGGAATAGCTGAACTTTATTTGGGGTTAATAAGAGGCACTTTAAATGATGGCAGGTGTGTACTAACTCCTATTTAACATGATTTTGAATGTGATTGCTTAATTATGAACACAGCTACATCCCCAGTTATAAGAAGGTGTGTACACTTATGCAACCACATTATTTTAGTTTTTTATGCTTCCTTCTGCTGCTCCACCCCTAAAAATTTCCGTTTGTTTTTCAATTGAGTTGTACAGTTTATAGGTCACATTAAAGGTGGAAAAAGTTATGAAATTATTTATCTTTGCCTAATTTTTTTACATCACAGAAACCTGACATTTTAACAGGGGTGTGTGGACGTTTTATAGCATATATATATGAGGGGCCCTCAATCCCCTCATGTTTTGCATTGTATTAGTATTGTTCTGTCACATGTTCTGTCCCCCTTTGTAATGTACAGCGCTGAACGAACTACTGGGGCTTTATAAATACTGTATAATAATAATAATAATTATATATATATATATATATACACCCAATGTATTTAGACACTTCATACAATTTAAATCCAATCTAGAAAAGATACAATGAATTCAGATAGAAGAGACTGTTGTAATTCTGATCTGATCAGTGTCAGGTCTAGTGGAGTCAGCAGCATTGGGAGGGGGAGGAGGAGGACAGCTCTCTCCCAGCCATCTGCCCCAGCACGTGTCCTGATCCCCCTGTGTGTACATTGACACCTGGCCATGTGTACTTTCAGGCTGCACTGACACCTCGGTGTCTCCCCCTGCTGTCAGGGGCGGGGCCCCCCGGGCAGGATAAAATGACAGGAGCTGGGACAGTGTACAGACACAGCATTGGGGGAGAAGGAACAGACCCAGCCAGGATCACAATGGAATCTCATCAGACAGGAGAGCAGAGGAGAGCCCAGCACACGTCTGATGATGAGAGGTCTGTCATACATCCTATTGTTATACAGTCTAGACTGCTGTCACTATCATAGCTGAACATAATGTGTAAGATGTGTAGATCCATCAGTGAGAGCTGTATGTGATGAAGTGCTGTAGCCAATAGTTAACATTCAGTTGTATGTAGATGTAATTGAAAAATTGGAAACAAATAGAAATGACGTAACATGACGTAAATTTGGTGCTCCCTTATTAAGGTCCCCATACACATTACAATCTGATGCTGCAATCTCGCCTCTACCAATGCGTATGCAGTGCAAGGGTCTGACTGTATATAAATTGACTGGTATCTCCTCCATTATACATAGTTTTGGTGGATATAAAGTTGATTGCACTATCAAATTGTAACATATGTGGTGAGCCTTACAATCTTTATACAGTCAATTTATAATACAAGGGTCTGTAATCTGTCCAATCAATGTTTGTCCAATCAGACAGGCATTGTTAGTAGATCTAAAGAAGGTTGTTTATTATTTTATTTATTTCAGGTACTTATATAGCGCCATCAAATATAACGCAGCGCTTTACATATATATTGTACATTCACATCAGTATCTAACCCTCAAGGGGGCGTACAATCTAAGGTCCCTAACCTACAATCATACATACACATACTAGGGCCAATTTAGACATGGGCCAATTCACCTACCAGCGTGTGTGTGGTTTTATTTTTTTTTTTTTTTTTTTTTGAGTGTGGGAGGAAACTAGAGTATCCGGAGGAAATCCACACAGGCACACTCCAGGCAGGTGGTGCTGTGGTTCAATCAGATTGTAGGATGTGTGGTGGGCTTTGTTTGTGAGCTGCTTAAAGGAAACCTAATGTGAGATTAATATAGAAGCTGCCATCTCTAATCTTCTTTGGCTACATTCAGGTTGCCTGGCTGTTTCTGGCCTAAAACTTTGAGACATAAAAATCAGAGCAAAGTAAGAATAGCTATTTGCATACTTGTTCCAAATTAGTAAGCTAGAAAATACTGATGCCTTTGGATCTACATCTCAGCTAAGGAACTAGTATTTTCAAAAGAGAGGATCAGCAATGGCAACCTCTGTATTTCCTCATAAAGAGACCCTGTCACTTCAACTAAAAGATTATATGTGGTCACTCTGAGAGCCCTTTGTGTATCTTCCAGATGTGGGGGGATGTGGAGACCCTGGTATGATACTCCAGTGACATCAATGCCTGCTCAGCAAATCGCTAACAATATACTGCAGGTAACTACCCAAAATCAGCATTCAACTTCTATGTATTATTGTGCTAAAAACATGTTTGCAATGGTTATATCTCTGAGGCCTCTATTTATTATTTATTACAGGTACTTATATAGCGCCATCAATTTACACAGCGCTTTACATATATAGTAGGTTCACATCAGTCCCTAACCCTCAAGGAGCGTACAATCTGAGGTCCCTAACTCACGTTCATACACATTAGGGCCAATTTAGACAGGAGCCAATTAACCTACTAGCATGTCCTTGTGTGGGAGGAAACCGGAGTACCTGGAGGAAGCCCACACGGGCACAGGGAGAGCATGCCTACCATATTATATCATTTTATAGTGCGTGTGCATATATATATATATATATATATATATATATATTTTTTTTTTTTTTTTTTTTTTTTTTTTTCTTTCAACACAGACATACAGTCTTAGGGCTCATTCACACTTGATTGTTTTACCAATGCTTGCCAAACGCCCCTATAGCGTTTGGCAAGTGTTGGTCCGGCATTTGCGGAGCGTGGTTTAGCGGAAGTTGCTAGGCGTTTGCCGAGCGCTAAAAACGCCCCACAAACGTTTATAATGAAGCTTAAATGGTGTTACCGCTCCACAAACGCCCCGCAACCGCGCTGCAAATGCCGACCGGGGCGTTTGCAGAGCGGCACCATAGACTAGAATAGGAGGCTTCACTCCACCAGAGGCGTCCATTTTGCCACGACACTAACGCTCCCGTTAGAACAGCACCATGTTTTGCAATGTGCAGAATTGTCCGAGGCGTTTGGGAAGCCATAAAAATGCTTCCCAAACGCCTCTCTGCCGCCTGCACACAACGCTAGTGTGAACATAGCCTTAAAGTGGTATTAAACCCCAAACATTTAATATATTGCAGCTTACCATTCATTAGATGTACTGTATTAGTTTTCCTTTTTTAGGCTTTTTCCCTCAGTTTTCACCTGGTGATCTGGCCAGTAACACACCTTCTGTATTAGTGAGACACAACACAGGAGGCACAGCATTGCCAGTCTGGGAGAGAAATAAAGTGTTAAATGTAGTTGTAGATTTAAATATACTAACAAATTAACTAAAGCCAAATGCCAGCTCACACTTTATAATCCATAAATTACAGCAAACACTGTTGTTCCTTTTGGGATAACGATTATACCTGAATAAATGTTCATTTTAATCATCCCTGCCAGAGGTACATAGTCTGTTTCATCCCTGTAAACTGGCACATTCTGCTGGAGAGATTGTGCTTCTGAAAAACAGACTTGCTGGCTGGTTCACCAGATGAAAAAAGAAGAGGGAAAAACCAATGCAGCTATCACATCTAAGAATTGGTAAACTGTAATATAATAAATGTTAGTTTTTAGGTATAATACTGCTTTAAGCTGGCCATGCAATGAGGTTGATTCTCTAAAAACTGGAGAGTGTAAAATCTGGTGCAGCTGTGCATGGTAGCCAATTAGCTTCTAACTTCACCTTGTTCAATTAAGGTTTGACAAGAAAACCTGGAAGCTGATTGGTTTCTCTGCAGAGCTGCACCAGATTTTGCACTCTGCAGTTGTAGTAACTCATCCCCATTGCATGAATAAGCTAGCTGAAACTCACTTTGTGGGTGGCCCTGCTGGTCACCTCCCACCCAATATCCTTTGAAGATTCTAGCCTGCATCCAATCAAATGCAGTTTAGGTATTCTGACAGCTCCACTGGCTGTCAGAACACAGCCCAGTGGGCATGTGGTGGTCCATCCATGTTAGATAGCCCAAAGCTTTTTTTTTTTTTTTTGAAAATACTGAAGGTGTTATATTTACCTACTCTGTGGTCCCCCACTGGTGCTCTTGGCTCCTTCTCCCTTCTGAGTACCTGTCAAGTTGCTATGGGGGCACTGGTGCAGGCTCGACCAAAGGCTGCTCTGAGTGCTATTGTAGACACACACAACACCTTCCACTCCCTCCTTACAGGATCCAATGGCTCCTGCTGCTACCTAAATGACCAGTGAGAAGAGAGAGCACTTCTGCTCTCGGACACAGCACTGGATCGAGATTAGGTTGAGGTAAGTATTTAGGGGGTACAGGGGGGGGAGCTGACCCTGAAAGGTTTGTTACCATAATGTAGAGAATGCAGTGACAAAAAAAACTTCTTCCATTACAAACACTTTAATACAGACTGTATTGAAGCTCCTGGATCAGTATGTGAGCCAGGCAGATGGCATAGGTAGAGGTCAGCAAGTCAGTCTATGTATTTCCAAAGAACAGGTTTCCTTTGTGTAGGAACATCACTGTCATTCTATAAGTTGTTTGGTACAGTTCTATAATAACATTGGTCCTCATGCATACAAGTATCTGAAAGTAACAGCTTTTGCTATTCAGTGCAACCAGTCAGCCTCTCTCTCCCCCCCCCCCCCCAATCCCACTGAAGTATGAAAAAGTGAAACTGGTCGCTAAAACATCAAGAACTATTCTTGTGCCAGACATCTCCATCATCTACGTAAGGCACAATGCAACAAGGGGTCCAAACGTCCCCATCCCCCTTACTATGTTCAGATTTTTAATTCAGACTTTTTTTATTTTAAGCATTATTACCCTTTTTTTTCATTGCAATTAATAACATTACATTTCTTATATTGTGGGTGACTCTTATTTCCTTGTGACTTAAGATTTTTTTCTTCTACTTTAGTCTCACAATTCAAATCAGGGAGCCATTACAGACAAAGTGAAGCTACCAGCCTTTCAGCACCCGGTTAAGTAAGTTTATGAATTGGGACAACCTTATGAAAAGAGGTTCAGATGAAAACACCAATAGGCAACATGTAAAACATGGCATATTAAGTACCTTCACCCCCTTCCTGTCCAGGCCAATTTTCAGCTTTCAGTCCTATCACACTTTGAATGACAATTGTGCGGTCATGCAACACTGTACCCATATGAATTTTTTAGCATTTTGTTTTTGTTTTTTTTTTTTTTGAGACTGATAAAACTTTATTTTGGTGGTATTTATTCACCGTTGGGATTCTTATATTTTTCTATATACATGAAAGTCCAGAAATGTTGAATTTGTATTTCTTATAAAATTTTGCAAATTTTTCTTCATAAATCTTGGCCAAAATGTATTGATCTATCTTTTTAGCAAAAAAAAAAAAACCCAAATTAGTTTATAACCAAATTATAATTTAAATTTTTTTTTTTATTATTTTTTTTTTAAACATACTGTCACCCTTAGCAGTATAGTGTCACCATACTGTGACACTGTACTACTTGTGGGGGGTGATGAAGATTTTTTTTTTTTTTTTCTTTTTTTACACTGATTGCTTTTACTCCCATAAAGGCTGTAAAAGCAATAATTTCTCCTTCTCTCTTGTTGTATTCCTGCAGCCATTGAGAAATACTGTGAGAGCTGTGATTAGTCACCGCTTGTCACATGGTACAAGGCTTTTGTGAATAGTCTTGTACCATGTGACTGCTGTGATCATTCTCAGATTTCACAGGTAGTAAGCAATGATGTCAGGAAGTGACATCTTGTTTACTACTATTCAGGTGATCACTGATTGGCCAATCAGGGATCACATGAATCAGAACCTCACACAGAGATCTGTGTCCTCTGAGATCATGGTGCTGCAAGCTCCCAGGGAGTGCACACAGGCAATGGATGCGGGGAGTCGTTTAGAAATGTCCACCCTCATTGGCAGTGCTCCCGTCCGGCCATTTATTAGCTCTGCCGGATGGGAAGAGGTTAAACTATGCCCATTTAGAGCAAAGTAACAGGGCTGCTAGATACCTGTTATATTATGGAACCTATGGTCCCCTTCTTTACACTCCCCCTCCCCTATCTGTTTGCCTGCTAGACTCTTGAGCTGGCCATGCTGTTCAAAGTTCAGCCGGTCATGCAGGGACAATCCACATTTTTATCGGTGTGTGGACTCCCCCCACAGTTGTGGATGAAACAAGCCCCCTGGCTGAAGTCTAAAAGCTTGGCCATGTATGGCCAGCTTTATGGCTAAGCACATGACTCTCTACCTAACTTCCACAATGCAATGCTTGTTTCCTTGTGGAACATTAGCAGAATCAACTTTTTTCACATGGGAGTGGGCCCTTAGCCCTCGGTAAGGTTGTGGGTCCTTAGCCCTGGGTAAGGTTTAAGTCCATTTATACTTTAAGTTTACAGTGTAATGTTGGAGGGGCTCAGTCAGATAAGATGGATCCTTATAACACCTGATGCATTTGACACAGGCAATCAGACTGGGTCCATCTGTCATTTTTGTTTTTTTGTTTTTTTTTTTTCTTCTTTCAGGTGGACCTGATTGGATGGCCTATGTATCCCTATGGACTGGTGTCTGTTTTTACACCCACCTACCTCCAATCCAATAAAGTCCACCAGAAAAAAAAAATAGAAGGGGATCTGTCCCCCTCTGTATAGGCGAATCAGATCAGAGGGCAGTCGGGTGTAAATACAGTGAAACCGGTTTACTCCCGGCTCTGTCCCTGTCCTCTTTACATAAATTAAGTGGAAATGGACCTGCCATCTGCCCACTCTGCTCTGATTAGCAGGGGATTAGTAGGCACATCATATTCTGCCCTGTGTGAAAGGGGTCTTAACCTATTACATTGCCATGAATGGTAATGTAAAGGTTTACTGTATTATCAGCTGCCACAAAATAAGACACCCAGTTCAACTGCTGTGAGTGTAAGACCCTAGCCAATACGTGAATGGTATTTATATATTTGACTCAATTACTGTCCCTTTACACATATGAAGACATGCTAGGTTTATTCATACTGTAAATATGGTTTTCTGACACCTTTAGTAATAGCATCTTGTAACAAAGTATCATAATTTTGTTTCTTGGTAATTGTTTAAAGCTGAACTCCAGGCACAAAAACATTCATTAAAATACTTTCCAGCCACTTTATTAGGTACACCTGCTAGTGCCAAGAAAATATCCCCCACACATTACACCACCACCACCCTGAACTGTTAATACAAGGTAGGATGGATCCATGCTTTCATGTTTACGCATAATTCAGACCCTGTCATCTGAATGTTGCAGCTAAAGCAGTCTGCCCATTCTCCTCTAACCTCTTACATCAACAAGGCATTTTCGTCCACACAACTGCAGCTTACTGGATATTTTCCTTTTTTTTTTTTTTTTGACCATTCTCTGTAAACCCTAGAGATGGTTGTGCGTGAAAATCCCAGTAGGTCCGCAGTTTTTGAAATGCTCATACCATCCTGTCTGGCACCAACAACCATGCCACGTTCAAAGTCACTTAAATCCCCTTTATTCTCCATTCTGATGCTCGGTTTCAACTTCAAGTTGTCTTCACCACGTCTAAATGTATTGAGTTGCTGCCATGTGATTGGCTGATTAGCAATTTGTGTTACCAAGCAATTGAACAGGTCACCCTAATAAAGTGGCCTGTAATTGTATATTCCTCAATAACCACAAAGCATATATCCACTTTGTGTGCATCAAATGCCTTTTTTATAACCCAGATATTATCTTGTAAAGGTAGCAGTGACATAATCGCCTTGTTTTACATAGCCTGTTCATTGAGCAGACCTGTTGGAGGGACCCAGCAGGTCCACTTACTAAAGGCTGCCAGTAGAGAACTACAGGAGGGGGTGGCTACAAGGCCAGTCACCCTGCACAGAGAAAGCAGCACTGACTGGTCTTTATTACAGGAAACTCCTGCACAAAGGTTCACACTTATTTACTGCACAGATCTGGAAGAAATCCACAAAGCACAGCAAGATTCAAGTAAGAATACACATGGGGAAACTTATTTACAAAATATTTGCTTATCCTGAAGTTGGCTTTAGTCTTCATTCATGGGGCAAAAATGTTTCTGCTATCCCACAAATACAGCAGATGAACAGGTAAAAAGCAATGATAGTCTGACAGCTGTCAACTGATGTTTGGATGTAATCATAAATCCAATTATTTCCTGCAGTTAGGGACAGATTGTCTTTGGACGTAAATAGCTTGCACAGCAGCAAACAACTGTTGCTAACTGCAGATAATCGGTGACTGCGCAATTACAGTAGTTTACGTCTTTCATTATTTCCAACATGATGCCTACTAAAAGCTGATCCCTATTGCATGCCCTGGGATAAGGTATATCGCTTTCCAATCTGTTATAAGAAATGTCTCAACCATTCATTTTTTTCTGTATACTTTTTCAAGGCAAACCGCAACATACAGTAACCCACAGCAAGAGTAAGGACCCAGATTTCAACCAGGCTTCATTAAAATCTGGTTGCTATAGAGTACTGCACTTTATACTACTTTGTTAATAAATGTTTTACAATATGGGGTGCAAAATCTGGTGCAGCTGTGCATGGTAGCCAATCCGCTTCTAACTTCAGCTTGTTCCATTAAGCTCTGAGAAAAAAAAACTGGAAGCTGATTGGCTCCCATGCACAGCCACACCAGAGTTTGCACTCTCCAGTTTTAGTAAATCAACCCATATGTTTCTTTGTGATGCCATTAGTTCCCAATTGCTCTTTAGTTTTTTCACATACAGGCTATATAACATTGTCCTGTTTTGTCTTACCTTTCAGGTTATTCTGGCCCAAATCAAAGTGTTATGATTTTCTGTACCAAGAGGCAGAGGAACTACTGAGGAACTTCCCTGTTCAGGCTACCATCTCCTTGTATCAGGAATCGGACAGCAGCAGCGAGGATGAAGAATTTGTTGAGAATTAAAGCTGTTAAATATATAATGTTGTAAGCTACAGTATACTGTAATCAGGGCTGCAATTCTGATCCTTACAGGCCATTATATTGCAAGTTTCAGAGCAGATTTAAATCTATGCATTGTGGTGCATTACTATAATGCACAACAATGCATATTACATGCATCAATACTTTGTGTTGCCCCTTATTGATGCCAATGCACTTAGGCAACACACACAACATGCAGCAACTCCTAGTAACACTATAGTGCATTATAGAAAAAAGTTTGCGACCTGTTCTATAACTGGGCTGTATTTGTGTGTCAGAATTGCATTTATTTCAGTGCAACACACTTTAATACATAAAGAACACACAATGCAAATGGGTCCTTAATGAAGCCAGTACCTGAGTAAACTGTAAACCGTTTTGGGAGTATATTAAAACTAAGAGGATGGCAGCATGTGCACAGATGATACAGATGAGAATGTAACTTTAAAAGAAGAACTCTAAGCATATACTATAATTGGGCAGTGAACAAGTATCCAAGAACATTTGTAGTAATGCTAAGCCAGAAAGCCCACCCGGTTTTCCCTAAATGCAAAATATCAGGACAGAAATATGGCCAATGCCATTACTGACTTATTTTTAAAGGTGCACACCGGTTGCCATGTATATCATACCGGTTGCCATATATATATATATTTACATTTCCTTCACTACTATGTGAATCACTAACCTAAAACAAGCATGTGAAATCTGATAATAGGACACCTGATGTGTGTGTTCTTCCTCTGGGTCAGTGATAACTTGATTAGTGAAGGAAGAATAAAGAAAACCACTCCAGAACATACACCTTCAAAAACAAGTCGTTGGTGGCAGCTCATGTCTTGTTCTGCTTCTGCTCTGACAGTTTTCCCATTTTTTTAGGACTTTCACACACATCATAATCATAGAAAGTGAATGGGAATGTATTGGCTGTATGGACTCACCCGCACAGCCAAGTTTGACAGGTATGTAGGGATGGGTACACGGGCCCCAAAACATGGCCTATGCAGGGAAAAGTGCATGGCCTATGCATTCAAGTTCTTGCAGCAGTCAATTCATACCTGTCAAACTCTGCTGATCATGAGTCCATACTGCTGATACACTCCCATTCACTTTCTATGGGCTGCCTGCACACAGCCCAGCAGTGAAAAAATTAAAACAGCCCTGGCCATTGCACAGGACTGAGTGCCAGTGTGAATGAGCCATTATTCTCAGTATTATAACATTCACTGTAGATTTCATGGAGTAACCATATCTACCTCTGCATGGGTTTGTATTATACAGTCACATTATGTGCTACACATTTTCCTTTCTCCCCTCTCTTTGTGAGAGATAACAAGCGAGATGGGGAATACCAAAATCCACAAATCTCAGCAATTGGAATTCCCAGATCACCAGATTACTGGCACCAAGGGGACTTAAATTAGTGGGGTGGTGTAACATGTAACAGTTATACCAACAAGAGAAACAGACGCCTGGGGCATGTAAAGTCTGTTGCTTGATTCCTTTTCAAGGCTTAATTATCACTCTTGACAGTGTATGTTTTAAGCAGAGCTTGATAGCTGCTGTCCTGAGGTTTACAGCACATGCATACTTTTATTTCTATTTTCCAGTTACTCACTAATGGATTTCTCTAAAAAACAGATATTCTGACAGTTGCCATAATGCCCGGTCAAGGCAATTGCTATCATTAAGCTGTCTCATTTTAGCATTGTCTTACCTTCCATGCATTAATTCAAAAGTTTACTACTACAACAAACAAAAAATCTGATTAAATATATCTCTATAAACAATGCTTTGTAATATACGAAGACTCTTTTCTGTCCTTTTTACTGATTTACTAGTTCAGTCTCCTATTAACTCTGTTATTGCAAAAATCATGGGTGTTTATTTTAGCAAAAACCCTGGAAATGAGAAATACCTTATCTACGAATGTCCCAAATGCTGTCATCCTGTATTATGACGGGCCCATGTGCGCCAAGCTATGCCATTTAAGCACATATGCCTCAACTGTAGAGCTGCTCTAATGTCTTACAAAAGACAGTGGTGGGAAAACAAAAACATAGATTGATTGTATTATAATCTTCTATGTGATGTAGTGTTCTTCCATTGCTGAAATATAGCAGTCTTCCAATCTAGAACTATGCAGATACTTGTAGAAGCCAATGCAATGTATGCAGCTGATCCAAAGCAAGCACTTTCTGCCTTGAATGTAAATGTATATACTTATTTATTATATTTGTACTTTTTCTATGTTGTAAGATATTATTTATAATAAAATATTAAATGATTAAGTCTACTTGTCTTTAAGAGAAGTATAATAATGTAGGTAGTAAAAGAAGAGAGACAATGAAACTTGGAGAAAATCAGCTTTATACCTTCTATAATTCATAGTGTTCACTAAATTTTACCATTGTTTATACTCATCACTAACAAAAATATGCTTGTAATTTAATTGATTGCCATTCAATATTGGCACTTGTGTGAACGTATCAGTATGATTGATGTAAAGATATAACACTGTATTCTAATATAAATACAATTTCTTTCATTGCATAGGCAGGTGCCTGCACCCCAGTTTCACTTTCCTGTAGAACATCCCAAGAGCATATCAAAACCACAGAAAATTGGTATTCAAATAGCAAACAGTCACTGTGGCCATAAGCTCTGGCATGTCTTGTGTGTTTTTTTTTTTTTTTTTTTTTTTTTTTTTTTTAATTACCACAGACCTTTTATTCACTAATTAGGATGTCCTATACACTGATGAGCCAGGAATGAGGTGCAGGGTGCACTAAGAGGAACCAGGGTGAGTAAGAGGAACCAAATTGGGGGTATCTGGGAGTGCCAGCTACTCAACTTAGCAGGTAGATTTATTATATATATTTTTAATTTTTTTTTTTTTTTTTTTTTCTATTGGAAACTATTTAATTTATTTGTATTTGAGCCCCCCAAAAAAAGAGAGGGCTTAGATTAGACCAAAATGATGTGCAGTAGCATGCAGCTGTAAATATTTATCATAATAGAAAATGGTTCTAGACAACTCTTACAGTAGATTACATGCAATATTAAGAAATTCAGTACTGTAGTTCTGTAAGTTATTTTACATATATTGTTATCATGGCTATTGTAAAAGTGGTGCACATGAGTGCAGACCATGTGTAATGCTAAACAATACAAATATTATGGACTCTATTGAGAACATTTATCAAAGGATTGTGGCAGACACATTATTTTAAGCAAATCGAGAAATCAAGGTAATGTAATTTTGATTTGGAATTGGTAAATACAGCTAAATGAAATGGGGAAAACAAAGTATAATTTCAAACACAATTTCCCACCATCCTCTTCCCAAAATGGTACGGTTTCTGTAACATCACAAAAACAAGATATGACATTATCAAAAGATAGTGGCTAAGGTAGGGTATGAGTGGTGTAACACATTTTTTAAAGTAGTAATGACTTTATAGGTATTCATACAGGAGAGAAATTATTTATCAATAAATATATATAATTAAATGCATACAAAACCTGTATATATACTGCAGTTATATACACTGCTCAAAAAAATTAAAGGAACACTTTGAAACCACATCTGATCTCAATGGGGAAAAAAAATTATGCTGGATATCTAAACTGATATAGACTGAGTAATTATTTAGGAACGTAAGGATGCCCTCTTCGTTTGATGGAAATGAAATTTATCAACCTACAGAGGACTGAATTCAAAGACACCCGAAAATCAAAATTAAAAAAATTTTGCAGGCTAGTTCATTTTGCTGAAATTTCATTGCAGCAACGTAAAATGGTACTCAGTAGTTTGTATGGTCCCCGTGTGCTTGTATGTATGCCTGACAGTGTTGGGGCATGCTCCTAATGAGATGATGTATGGCGTCCTGGGGTATTTCCTCCCAGATCTGGATCAGGGCATCACTGAGCTCCTGGACAGTCTGAGGTGCAAACTGGCAGCAGCAGATGGACCGAAACATGATATCACAGAGGTGTTCTATTGGATTTCGGTCATGCGAGCGTGGGGGCCATTCAATGGTATCAATTCCTTCATCCTCCAGGAACTGTCTGCATACACTCACCACATGAGGCAGGGCATTGTCGTGTACCAGGAGGAACCCAGAACCCATTGCACCAATGTAGGGTCTGACAATGGATCCAAGGATTTCATCCCGATACCTAATGGCAGTCAAGGTGCCATTGTCTAGCCTGTAGAGGTCTGTGTGTCCCTCCATGAATATGCCTCCTCAGACCATCACTGACCCACCACCAAAACGGTCATGTTGAACGATGTTACAGGCAGCATAACATTCTCCACAGCTTCTCCAGATCCTTTCACATCTATCAGATGCTCTCATCTGTGCAAAGAACAGGGCGCCATTGGCGGACCTGCCAATTCTGGTGTTCATTGTCAAATGTCAATTGAGCTCTATGGTGTTGGTCAGTGAACACAGGGCCCACTAGAGGACGTCGGGCCCTCTGGCCCACACTCATGAAGTCTGTTTCCTGATTGGTCAGAGACATTCATACCAGTGGCCTGCTGGAGGTCATTTTGTAGGGCTCTCCTAGAGTAACTGCCTGTCTCCTGGAATCTCCTCCATGCTCTTGAGCCTGTGCTGGGAGACACAGCAAGCCTTCTGACAATGGCATGTATTGATGTGCCATCATAGAGGAGTTGGACTTCCTGTGCAACCTCTGTAGGAACCAGGTATCGCCTCATGCTACCAGTAGTGACACCGACCCTAGCCAAATGCAAAACTAGTGAAAAACCGCATAGATGAGCAGGGAAAAAAAATGTCAGTGGCCTCCACCTGTAAAACAATTCCTGTTTTAGGGGTCGTCTCATTGTTGCCCATCTAGTGCACTTGTTAACTTCATTAACACCAAAGCAGCTGAAACTGATTAACAATACCCTCTGCAACTTAACTGACCAAATCAATATCCCAGGAGTTTAATTGACTTGATGCTATACGCCGATT